GTCTTACCATTAGAGAGGTGAAAGACCTCTCCTTTCTCTGCTTCATAGACTTCAATCGCAGCCTTCGCCTCAGCCTCGGCCTTTTGGACCTCCTTTAGGAGACGTTTCTTCTCCTTCTCCGTCTTCAGGAGGATGCCACCGCGATTAGAGAGGATGGCTGGATCACGCATCCGACGTTCCACCTCCAGCAGTGCCCTCCAAAGACTTTGAAAGTTGGCGATACCGTCGTAGACCTGGCGATGTTTTTGGTAAATGGTTTTCAACTCTTCGATGCGCTTTTCTAGGTAGTCCACCAGCGCTTCCTCATTGCCGGTAAATTCTTCGATGATGGCCAATTCTTGCGACTCAACACAACAGGATCGAGCCAGCTCAGCAACCTCTTCCTTCAGACGTGGTAGGTAGGCATGAATAGTTTTCAGGCGTTCCTGTCGGCAGGCATCGGCCTCGGCCTGAAATCATTGGCAGACAAAATTATTTTGAAACATATATTCCTGTAAAAGTTTGAGAAACGGATCTTTTTTGGCAGATGTGTGGCGGCCAATTTACGGAGTTTAGAGTTTATTCAATTTCTGAACCAGTGTCTGATGTAGGCGTGCTACGTGAATGTAAAAATAGGATCCCCAAAGTGCATATTTCTGGGTGATTTCAACGTGCTTAGGCACATTCGCTTTGCAGAGATGGACTATGACATCTCATCGGTAGACGACGTTTCAATAATCCACCTTGTCACTGTTTATAATCGTAGGGTAGGTATTATGCGTAGAATCAGTCTAACTTCCTTTTTCCTGTTCCTTCATTTACTGATATAATTCCAAATTGGTCGAAAAATATGAGACTGCTTTTAGTGACTGACCTAGTGCAGATCGCTGGCCTGGAGTCTCTCGCGGAAAGGTGTGCTGTAATTGAGGTCTTCCGCAAAACGACGATATTTTGAAAGTCGACGCTAACAGCTGACCCACACAGAACATTATGCTTTATTGAATATTCACGATGAACCCGTACTTATTACTTGTTAGTAGTAATTCGTAGTACCTTTAAAATCAGGGCGTATAGACTAATCGATGACCAAGAATAAACGTTTCATGCTGTTCTCACCCATTGTGTGAACGTCCCTATGGCAGCATATAAATGTACTGCCAGATATTCCGGCGTTAACCGCTACGGTTAACTGAGCATTTACCGATTACACCAGCACGATGGGACACGCCGATAATCGTTTGCCGTTTCTGACGTCGGACAAACGGGTCTATT